GAGTGCAGTGGTGCAATCTCGGCTCACTGCAACCTCCACCTCCTAGGTTCAAGCACTTCACCTGTCTCAGCCTCTTGAGTAGCTGGGACTACAGGTGTGCGCCACCATGCCCAGAAAATTTTTGTATTTTTAGTAGAAACGGGGTTTCACCATGTTGGCCAGGATGGTCTCGATCTCTTGACCTCATGATCTGCCTGCCTCGGCCTCCCAAAGTGCTGAGATTACATAAGGATGTTTTCACGTCTCTTTTTCCTCACCTTTTCCCCACAGGCACATATACACGTAGGTATCTGCCCAGGAATAACCTGAACAATTCCAATTGTTATTAATTCTTCTTGCTTCAAAATACACTTTCCTTTTTCTATGTTAGAAATATTAACAATTGCATTAGTCTACAATCTAACCTATTTGTGCAACTGCATATTATACCAGGATAGGAAAGTTTAAACATGTATTTCTTTTAGACTTTTCATTGACTTGCTGAAAATTTGTAGTGAATTGTATCTTGAGTAATGCTTCTCTGGGTCTCTTATTTCCCAAAAGTACACTTTGGAATCCATGCAATTCTGATCCTTGTTTGACCTTTGCTGGCACAAAGGTATTCTGAAATATTTGCAAATGCTAAAGTCACTTCCTCATGTTTTACAGAGTTTACTTTAGCTTGGTGAAACCAAGTGCAATATCAGTTTGTTGTAAGCTTACCACTAACTAAAGATTCATAAAATAGCCCTGCCCTAGGGTCAGGGACTAGCTAGAGGAGCATGAAAATAGTCTTTGAAGATTCAGCTGCTGGATATTTTACACCAAAAAGCTGAAACGTTTTAACTATTTCAATATTTTGTTTATAGTACTTAATATTTGTGAACATGAAGGAAAATGGGCACTCTTATAGTAAAACTGTGGTTAAACTAACTTGGATGGTGTTTGGGCTCTGGTTATCAGAAGCTCCTTAAAGTGTCCATACCTTTTATCCCAGTTCTACTTCCAAGAATATGTCCTAAGGCATGTTTTCGTAGGAGGTTATTTCAGGTGGCGCAGGGTAATTCTAGTTGGGACACATTTGCCACATTGTCTAACACTGACTCACAGTGAGAAAGTTATTCCCATGCTCAATTCCTTTTCAGTCTTCTGATCAAGGGAAGGAGAAAAACTTTAGCTTGGTGCTAGCATGCCTTCAACACTTGTCTCACTAAGCCTCTCTAATCTCCCATTTTATATAAAAGAATGAGCAAAGGGAGAGCAGTATTTTGACTCTATTTTAACCACAGTATTTTTTTATTCCAATAAGATTGCCTTCATTTATGGCATATGATGTTGGTTTTCCACTTAAATAGGTTT